TAAGGGGGTTTTAAGCACTCCGCATCACGTCGTACCTAACAACGCCCCTTAGCTGTTATAAATTCACTGTAAACCACGGCTTCACGGGGCTTATTGCTTTAAGTGAATATGATGTGAGGCTCCCCAAACACAAAAATGTTTTAATACACCCTATTATTCAATATTAATAATCATTATTACAACATCAAGAGCAATAATTGACAATAATGATTTTTGTCATAATGCTGCAGCCCTACATCATTTTTAATGTATAATCTATATACAGTTATAACAGTTTGTGGTTACTGGTAACGTTTAAAGTATTCTGATTGCCTGAAGTAATTGGTTAAATTTAAAGGAACACCCGGAGATCGACTGAATGGGTTCGAAAACGGTAAAACTCAACTGTTTAACTCTAGGGGAGTTGGAAAATGAGCCTATTTTCAAAAATAGTGGAGTGTTCCTTTAAGTATTTGGCATTAATAAGGTAATTTAAAAAGTGGCCCAGGGGGCAAATATTGCCCCTTACTGGAAAAGTTCATTTCTGACTCTGTTTGATAGCATACATAACATTAGAATTTTTTTTCTTTCTTTTATTGATGTGAATTAATTCCAGGGTTAGAAGCAGCACTAACCACTTTTCAAACAGGCGAGTGTGTTTTACATACCACCAAGATAAAGCGGAGCAGGGCTGGGTCCTGGATCGGGACTGCTGGCAGTGTTGATGGATTTGGGGCTTCCTCCATCAATAGACAGAGACAGAGACTGATCCTTTGCCACCAGCTCCACTACATGAAAACTGCCATCATTTATAGTCTCAACACTAGAGAGAGAGAGCAGAAGTGAACAGTGAGGGTAATACCTGCAGATATGACCTGAGCTGAGCTGAGTTATTGACCGTCTTAAATGAGAGCAACTGATTAGACTTCAGAGGACTAAAGGCACGATTTTTCATTACTACAGAAAAAGAAAAAAAAACAAGCTTTTTAGGAGGTCTGTCACCCTAACCCTTTGCCAATTATGCTTTAATTTCTGTGAAAATGAAAACATCAACCAAAGCTAAACTTCAGTTTAATGTTCCACTGTTGCTTCCACATTCAAATATACAAAGTAAAATTAAAATCTAACGTATATCACTGTAAATAAATAATGATTATTTTAATGGCTTTGAATTTAAACCATCATACATACAGGAACTATGAAAATATAATAATATGGAAATGTGCAAGTTACTGTAAGCTATGTTTAAAATGCAACACTAAATTTTATACCATAAGTAATACTATATGCAACATTATTTTAAAAAATATATTATTTTTACAATATATTATATTAGAACATTTTTTTTTTTTATACTTTTAATATTATTTTTGTCTTGATCACTTTTTATAATTTAAATGCATCCTTGCTGAATACAAGTATTAATTTCTTTTCTTTTTTTTTAAATCTTAACTTTTTAACAGTAGTGTGTATATCAAGTTCGCAGTAAATATAAATGAACTTAATTGAAAAAAGAAAACGGATATGTCCTGATTTAGATGTAGCTTATTTTAAAATGGATAGTTTCAACTCTGAATTCTGATTGGATGAGCCATCTTCAGTGCTGTAAAAGTGTGACCCCAGTATAAACGTGTGTGTACCTGTAGATGGCAGATGGGGGGTAGGATCCGGAGTCATAACTGACTCTCAGTCGTCCTCTGTAGAGCTCCACTGCAATGTGTTCATTGTCTCCTTTATACAGCAACACTCCATTGTCCTCATCTGTGGCGATCTATGACATGCATACAGAGCACATGAGTGCATCTTCAGTGAAGAATTAGCTCGATCTCTCTCTCTCTCTCTCGCTCAAGCAGAATGCTCTTTAAGCGTGTGCTGTACCTGTAGTGATATATTGGCCTGTTCTGTAATGAGGTTGGAGGGAATCTGCAGGAACGATTCTCTATTGATGAAGTTGACGCTGACCAGCTTCTCACAGTGCACGCCCTCGTAACCATGGAGACACTGACACACAGGATCCATGTCCTTGACAACACACTGTGCGCCATTGGCACAGTCATAGTGGTCACACGGACTTGTTCTCGGCAGGACCATCGGAGGGGAGAACTCGCAGAACAACCCACTACACACACACACACACACACACAGTGAGAGCCGTATTTCACATGGTTATCTCTGATGATCTGTTCCTGATAAATGTAGTGTGCTCACCTGTACCCTTCTGGACACACACATGTGTAGCCATTCACTGCATCAGTACACTGAGCTCCGTTTTTACACTTATTATCTGCACAATCATCAAAATCCACCTCACAGTGCTCCCCGGTGTAACCTGGAGTACACTCACACCTGCACAAACACACAAAATCACCACATTTAACACTTAAAACTCATATTGTCACCTTTAACTCCGATAAATATCTTTTTTGTCCATGAAATTTCTTGACAAGCACAGTTCTCTTTCCCTCTGTATACAGACATTTTTATTATTAGAAATTTTTACAACAGCTAATAGCTTTATTTACGTCACAGACATGAATCGTAATTTCATCCTGGGGTACAAGGACCCCCAGTGGGCCGAAAGAAGGTGCAAGTCGAAAAGTGTAGAAAAAAGGAAAAAAATTTTAACAAAAAGAAAAAATATTTCTCTTCATCCTCAACATTCAAGAACAGTTTGTGCTTTTATGTTTGCTCACTGAGGGTTGTATATCATCCATTTCTGTAAAACCGCTTTGGAACTATATTTATTTATATATATTTATTTATAGTGAACCCAACGGGAGAGCTGTAATGGAATATCAGAACACAAACACAGAGCAGAACCTCAGAGACTCCAGCTGCATTCCACACAGATCCAGTGTTGTGTTAACATCTGCACCAATGGGCATAAAAACACACAAATGAACTTATGTGGTCTGCTGCTCACACATATCAGCAGAGAAACACACACACACACACACACACACACACCTGATGGTTTCTAACACAGTGATTGTTCTGGTGTGGTGGAGAGAGGAATGAAATTAAAGTTTAGATGAGAGAGGGAGAGGAGAGAGAGAGAGACGAGCCATAATATACAAATTATACAAATACTGTACCATTCAAAAGTTTGGAATCAGTAATATTTTTGTTTTGTTTTTGAAGTAAGTCTCTTATACTGAACCAGGCTTTTATTTGGCTTTGCATTTATTTGATAAAAAAAATTACTGAAATTTTGCATACATATATATATATATATATATATATATATGTACTGTATATATGTACAGTATGTATATATGTGTGTGTGTAAAAATATTTTCTAACAATATAAGTATTTACAATCACTTTTTTAACAATAAAAGTATGCATTTCTTTCTCCAAACTTTTGAACAGTATTCAAAAATACTGAATACTGAAATACTGAATACTGTATATTGTTAGAAAACATTTCTATTTTGAATAAATATTTTTTTTTTACTTTTTATTCATCCAAGAATGCTGAAAAAGTATCACAGTTTCAAAAACAAAATATTAAGCAGAAATAACTGTCTCCAACATTGATAATACATCAGCATATTAGAGTAATTTCTGAAGATCATGTGACACTGAAGACTGGAGTAATGATGCTGAAAATTCAGCTTTGATCACAGAAATAAATTATATTTTTAAGTATATTAAAATTATTACTTTAAATTGCAATAATATTTCACAATATTACTGTTTTTTCTGTATTTTTGATTAAATAAATGCAGCCTTGATGAGCATGAGAGACTTCTTTTAAAAACATAAAAAATATTACTGATCCCAAACTTGAGTGGCAGTATATATATAATTTCTAAATATTTATGTAAATATTTCACAGAGTTCAACTTGTGGTTAGTCTTTCTTTCTTAATCTTAATTATTTTCTATAAAGCTTTGAATTAAAAAAAAAAAAAAAAAAGATTTCATTCTACAAACTTTGCAAATGTGACAAAAGCAGTTTAGTAACTTTCAAACACAGTGCTGTTTCCAGACGGATGAATAAAAACCTGTGCAACTGTATTTATTAGACAGAAAATCAGACAGTTCTTGCCAAACTGTAAAGAAGGTGAAGAAAGTAAAGAAAGTGGATTTATAGTTTGAGGCTAAATCTATAATACAGGCAAGTGGGGATCTTAATGACTTACATGAATCCCTTAGTGGTTAGAATACATTTCGAGTCGTGCTGACACAGGTTTAGCTCTGAAGCGCAGAAATCCAGTTTATCTTCACACAGCTCCCCTGCACACACACATACACATTATAAACAGACAGAAAGAGTGGGAGGTGTAGGGATAGTCACAGAAAACAAGAGTCGCATCGTGTGTAGGATAGTCTCTGATTAATCATCTTACAGTGGGGAAGATGACAAAATACCAATACTCTGAAGAACAACAATACAATACAGCTCTATTGACAGAGTACCAGCCAGCGAAACATCAATGAGTGTGTGTGTGTTTCATACGTTAGAAAGCAACGAGGACGCACTAGCCAGAAACAGCAAAGATAAGAGACAGACAATGGGAGGATGAAGTGAAAGAGTCAACTAACCTTTCTCCACCTCATTATTATTAGCAGCTAGTAGAAAAAGAGAAACCAGTAGCGAGAGAAAGACAAAGAAATACAGAGGACGCATTTGACATGTTAGCATGTTAGCTCAAGCAGCACATTGGCATCAAACACAGAGCACAGAGAACACAGAGCATTGCGCACGTGACTGTCCTTGTGTTTGTGTGGGTTACCTGTGTATTCAGGTGAGCAGAGACAGGTGTAGTTGTTGATCCCATCCACACACGTAGAGTTATTCTCACAGTCATTATCTTCACAATCATCGATATTTATCTCACATTCGTCGCCCTCAAATCCATCTGGACACACACACCTGAACATACACAAATACGACTTCTTAATTCTTTTGAAACGTTTAATTCACTCTGTGAGCAGTGTTGCTATTCTATAAATGTCTCTCACAGTCTGTCTACATATGTTTGGGTCCCTGCTTCAATTTTTTTACTATTTCATCACAAAAGTGTAAGTATAGGTGCTTAGAAATTATCACATCATCTTTTTTTCAGTTTTGGGGTCAGTAAAACATTTTTCTGGAAGAAGTTACTCTTATTCAGCAAGCATGCATTAAACTAATCGAAAAACTAATCAACTTGATGAGCAGCAAATCAGTATATTAGAATGATTTCTGAAGGATCATGTGGCATTGAAGATGCTGAAAATTCAGCTTTGCATCACAGAAATAAATTACATTTTAATGTATTTTAAAACAGAAAATGGTTATTTTAAATTATAATAATATTTCACAATATTACCGTTTTTACTGTATTTTTTATCACATAAATGTAGCCTTGGTGAGCATAACAGACATCTTTCAAAAACATTACAAAATCATCCCGACCCCAAACTTTTGAACAGTAATGTATGTATGTGTGAATAACATTAGATATATCAGTTTGCATTTCATACTGGAATGTGTAAGTATTACATAAGTGTTTATATGAGCATTCAGTGCTATACACATATGTACGACTACTTACATAAGTTCATGCAAGTGTTTTATGTGTGTATGCGTGAGTGAAGATTGATTTATACCCTACACAGTGCAGCATTCACTTAAGCTGGTTTAAATTCAAATTTAGTAATAGTGAGTTACATTTATGATTTATGATAATACGCTTATCAGTACATTATCAGGTTCCAAATTCACACATGTTTGAACCCCAAGTTGACTGAATATATTAAAAGAGCTGTAGTGTTTTCACTCTTTGGGAAATTGCCCTATGAATGACTTACTTACGGTTGTCTCTGCACATTAAACTGGGGCAGAAGAACTTATTTTATGCATCGTGCGTGTCTGGTGTATTACATTACAGTATATAATCAACATGTAAAGCAGAGGTTCTCAAATGAAACTCTTCTTATTCACCATCTCCCTTGATTGGCTGATTAAGTGCATGAGTGAGCTCAGATCAGTTTCAGACACTTCAGTCTGATTAAGACAGATTAGACACACTCTGTCCATAAAGTATATTCATTACCGGAGCAACAGGGACACACACACACATCTGAGCATTTACTTGATTTACTAAATGAAAGCCACATTCAACATGGCCTGAATACAATAAAGGAGCTCTTGATTGGTCTCATATACACGCCATTTCACTGATGACGATGATCAAGGTCTGTCTCACCAGTGAGTGTTCTCCTCTCCATCTTTCAGATGACAGATGCCTCCATTCTGACAAGGGTTACTGATGCACGCATGAATCGGTTCCTCGCAGTCTTGGCCCTAAATGAACACACAGGTTGCATTACAAATCCACATTGACGCTTCAGTCTTTCACACTTGCATATCCTCACGTACAAATGTTACTCTATACAAATGAGTATACGTGTGAACTCTCTCCCTGCCAGTGTGCTCAAAGTTGCCAGTTGCCGCCAGCATTTTTGATAATTTTCACAGAATTTTCATTCATATCTGAACATGCAATATGTCAAAATAACAGAGCCTCTGCTTTTAAACACACACACACCAAATGTTTTATTCTAGCTTCATGCCTTCTTTTTTTCATCAACACTTGAATGTGGGTCAGTTTCATAAAAAAAGCAACATTTTGAACAAAAAGTTGAGAAAATGGCATTTTTGTCAAAGACTATGTCTGGATCAGATTCAGACCGATGATCAAAACACAGATGGAGTCAATCACTTCCAAAGCTTCACAGTCCTAAAACACTTCTTCAGTCGACATTTCATTCAGTAACGTTAGGCAGTTTTGATTTACATGCTGTTTAATGATTGATGATGGCGTTATTTTACATATGCATCTGCTTGCATACGCAACCGCTTGTTTCTGCTTCTTCTTTGCTTTGTTTTGATCCAGACATTCAGTACTCTATCAGAAGATGTGTAATTGCGCCTCCTACTGTATAACAGTGAAAACACGGAAAGACGGAAACTTCCATCAATGGTGGGGAAAGAGATAATCATCCAAAGAGCAAGATGAAACTTCTGTGCAAATTTGGATTTGGTTTATGGTACTTTATGTATTTGCCATTTTACTGCCTGGCATGTGAAAAGTCTGCTGTCTTAAAAAGTATTAGCACCCCTTTCCTCAAACAAACCACACCATCTCATCTTGTACAAATATAACACAAAAGGTTGTGCATACAAAGTTCAAAGGGTCATATGATGCTATTTTAAAGATCATTATTTTGTGTATTTACAATCAGCTTGTAACACTCCAAAGAGAAAGGGAAACTTGAAATCGCATCCCTTTAATACATTAGCAAGACCACTAATGAGATGCTCTTGTTTGTGTTTAAGGGTGTACATACCTTAAAACCATATGGACAGGTGCATCTGTAAAAATCGACGGGATGGTTACTGCAGGTTCCGTCATTCTTGCAGGGGTTGGATAAACAAGGGTTACATTTTGCCAAAATGCTTACAACCACCGGACCTATGTAAAATACAGAGGACAAAGTAATTACACAACATGTTATACGCACAAACAGAAACATAACAAGCACAGACTTACAAACACACATAGGATTGAACAGGTAAGGCATCACAAACCAATACAGGTCAAAGAGGTCACTTTAAACCTGAGGAAAGGTTGGGTGGCAGATACAGGGGGCCGGGGTTTAAGAGCTCAGACTGGGCTCTTATTGACTTGCTTACCTGGCACAGGAAAACCACAAGTCCCCGGCACCTCTACAAATGTACCAATCAAACACATTACTTACAATATTAACATCAGAGCATATTAGCTAGTGTTAGAGTTAGTACTAATGCCCTCTCTGTGACAGGATGAGTGTGTCTAAAGTGCACGGGTGGGTTTACCTGTGCATGTCAATTTTTTAGAGGGTGTAGTCAGCAGCAGTTTGTCGGTCATCTCTCCAGGACCGGTACACCGTGCAATTCCAGGCTCCTTGTAGCCGCTCTTTACCCAGTCAGAGAGCCACTGCATGTGACAATCACAGTACAGAGGGTTTGCTCCCAGAGCCCTGCAGGAAACACACACATATTACACGTCTTCCCCAAAAATGTGGATGATGAAAAAATAACACAATGTAACAAAAATTAGTTTGACTTAAATTTTTGATGGTTCTTCTGTAATTCTGTGGTGCTGATTATTATTGTACTATTTATTTTCACGTAGCATTTTGGTAAATATTTAGGTCAGGAAAATTTTAGAACTTCTATCATTAATTATGAAACATTGGTTTAGTACAGAGAAGTTTTTGTACAAATTTTGCAGATATATTTATTTTTTTAAGATATTTTGCTTTTGCAAGGATGGGAACATTCTATTAGTTTCTGTAACATTCTGTAATATTCTGTAATATTCTAGTGCTTTCTGGATCATTCCAGTCATAACAGGCAAAAATCATCCGACGTACACTTCTGAAGTTTTGGACGACTCGCTTTTGCTAACTGTTTATGTTAAACTGTTGTTGATAGCTCAGTATTATCATTTTTACAGTATGCATGAGTAATAACAGATAATCTTGTATAAGTGTCAACATATGTTTTTAGTTTTCCTGAGCGCTGTTAATGATACACAAAACGTAATGTGTTTTTCGTATTCAGCATGTCAAACTTCATAAAGAAACATTAAAAATAAAAATAAAACAAAACTTAAATAAAATAAATAAAAAGCACACACCTAATGTGACTTTGATGTGATTTGGTTTTAATAAATAGTATTTTTTTATATAAATGTATTATTTATATAAACAATAAACATTATTATATTGGTTGCTTGACAATCTTGTGTACAGCACTCTATAGATTTGTTCTACTCGGCTGTCAGTCATAATTACACTTGTGAAATTGATCTATGGGATTTATTAAAAAAAAGGGTCATCATGGGAGACCGAGAACTCAAGCAATCTGTGGCTGCAGAACCCCAAGTTCAGACAGAGAAAGTGTTTCAGTGTGTTTGTGTGAGAGTAAAAGAAAGAACCAAAGTACATCCAGCTGTCAAAACCTATTTGGTGCACTCATAAGTGCTTGTGTGTGTGTGTGTGTGTGTGTGTGTGTGTGTGTGTGTGTTCATTCTGAGGTACTTACAGGTGGGAGAGCGAGGACAGATCTTTGAAAGCTCCATCTGGGATCACAGCAATATCATTACCATGGAGAGACCTGCAGAGAGAAGAGAGAAATTAAGCCATCCAAGAGAGTCCAAAACACATAAATCAAAGTCTAATAGCAAAGACACACACATCAATGAGGTACTCACAAGAGGCGCAGAGACTTGAGGCCGTCGAAAGCTTTAACAGGAATACACTGCAGTCTGTTGTAGCTTAATATTCTGGGATGAAACAAAAGATATTACAATGTTTGCACAGAAGCGTCAGGCCATGCAAAAGTGAATTTTGCAAAATAAATTACTGAAACAAAGATAACTTAAATAGTTAAGTTAATAACAGTTATTGTAGGTCAAAAGTGTAGTAAAATGTGTCTAAAAGTGGTGGTAAAAAAATAACTTCATACACATACTGAAAAACACATACTGCACAAAATATAAAACTGTTAAAATTCACACAAGCACAATGCACAGCTACAGACATACACAACCATAAAAACACACACAGACACAATCTGAAGCCATAGATCATGTTGACACTCACAGGGTGAGCAGCTCAGACATGTTACTGAAGCTGTGGTTGGACAATGTGCTCATCTGGTTATTACTCAAATCACTGCAAGAAAACACACACACACACACACACACACACACACAAAGGCAGAGTGTTATTATGAGCCACAAGAAAATCAAACACTTAAAGCCAACATTTAGGGTAAACTGCAATAACAAAATGTTGCACAGCACTAAAAAGCACAAGATTCTTTATATTTAGGATTATTTAATTTTGTTAAATAAACAAACATTACATTGTTTGTTTTAAAGATAAACTGACTTTTTGGATGGAATATTTCAATAAAATTAACCCAGATTGCAAGGAATTACTTATTACACTTTCCATTACTTGGTTTAATGCATGGTATAAGACAACGCACACGTGAACCTCCATGTTAAAGACACTCAAATGACTGAACTTATCAATGCAGTGACCTTTAAAACTGCAAACAGCAAACACCAATCATGTACAATAGTTATGCATTAGGCATGAAGTCAAAATACAACATACAGAAGCATTCAACAGCCTTGATGCATGAAAGGACTTTTCTGTGTGGGTCTGATTTCTAAGCCTATTTAATTTGCATTCATCAAAATAATACAATATGTTAAAATGTTATAAACCTACAAAAACCATTGGCAGTCTTATGAATTATTTAAAACCATATTTCAAAGATTTTGATCATTCTTTATGCGCATAAAATAAATACTTAACAGTAATGTAGACTGAAAAAAATTAGCTATCACTCATTTAATTGATGAATTTGCATTTTGCGTGTGTACTGTATAATGCTCGCTGTTAATTAGTGCTTAATTCATTCGGTATGCTTGGTGGAGATGGACTATTGTTCTCATAGTGCAGGAAATAAGAGGAAAAGCCAAAATAAATACAGCTACAAACTTTCGGATTTTCTGGCAATGGCTGGATGAGAAAATGGATCAAACACCATATGTACAGGTCTGCTATGATTGGCTGGTTTTAACTGATAACTGTGAAGTATTTGTGATTGGCTGACTCCAGAGAGGGCTGTACCTACATGAGAGTGAGGTGTTTATAATTGGATAGTTCCAGAGGGACTTGCGTGAACTGGTTGCCATCGAGATAGCTATCAGAAAAGGACAAACAAGTTATTACTCAAACGCAGAGGAAATAGCACATTAGCAACAGTGTAATAGGAGAAACTTCAAAGACGTATATATAGCAGCCGTGTATTGTTTCAGACGTCAAGTATGTGGTTGGAGACAGCTGGGTTTACAAAAAAACGTGTGCCTGGATCCGATAAGGGGATTGTTTAAAATAGCCATTTATTATGAAATTGCTGCGAGGTTTGTGGCCATAGTGTTTTTGTGCACACTCACAGTTCTGTAACGTCTTTAGGAATGCCTTTGGGTAAAAGCTTAAGTCCTTTATTACTGCAGCGAACCACCGTATCCAAACACGAGCACTCGGCAGGACAGCGAGCCAGGGGCGAACAGCTATTCTCATCATTACCTGCACACACACACACACACACACACACACACACACACACAGAAAATTAATCAGCATGCTAATGTTCTAATTTATCACATGTCGAGAATGATCTCAAATGAGCTTTCTGATGTGAAGATATGCAGGGGTGACTGTTTTTGTAAGCTTGCTTGGAAAGATAACACTGCATAGCAGATCTTATCAGAGCCCTATTAAGAGCTAGAAACAAGATCTTCTTACACACATGCATATGTATTAAACACCCCCACACACACTCATAGCCATACCGTCTTCGCAGGCAAAGTCTTGAATGGCTACATCTTGAATAGGGATCTCCTTAAGAAAGTATGGGCTCTGACAGCGAGGGTTTCCCGTAACGATCCGTTTCTTACGAAGCCATTCCCCCAGCCAGGCCAGATGACAATTACAGTTAAACGGATTAGCCAGCAAGTTCCTGTAAGAACATATAATGGAAAAATTATGCAGCGAATATTTAGCAAAAGCTTACAACCGAATGCTATGTTTGAAAACCTAATGAGCTGCCCACGGAGGCACACTACCGTCTTAAAAAGGCAGACAACATTAAAGGGGTCATGAATTGAGAAATCAAGTTATCCTTGATCTTTTGGTCATTGTGCTATAAAACATCCTGTAAGTTTCAGAATTCAAAACTTTCTAGTTAGTCTAAAAACAGCTTATATTGAAGCCAAGCTGCTAAAACGACTCGTTTCTGAATTTCTCACATTATCACATCATATGAAAGCCTGCCTCTGCAGAAGAAGATCAACGCCTGTTTCTGCATCACTGCCTCTTTAGCAGCGGAAAAACACAGTCTTTGCATCGCCTTCCTTCTGATCCCAACATTAGGAAAGAGTGGATGAACTTTGTTTTTTATCAAGTTCCAGATCACGTCAGTAAGTCCTTTGTGCACTTCATTTGATCACGGATACATGTTTAAACGAGACATAATTCGACAGGATTTTCAGAGAGATTGAAACTAAAAGACGATGCTGTGCCGACTATATTGGATCAAAAACAGGACCGAAAATAACCTACTACTTCTAAATGATGATGTTAAAATCTTGTTAACATTATAAGCGACATTATATAGTCCAGTTTTTTGTGTTTGAGTTTCTGTTTATGTAGAATGATAATGATAATTATTAATGATTTATTATTGGTGTGGATGCTATATAATTTACAGTGCTGGGTAGATTACTTGAAAATTGTAGTCTGTTACTGATTCTAAATTACATTACACATTTTAGGTAATGTAATCAGAGTACTTTTTGATTACGTTAGATTACTTTTGACCTAACTTATCTATCACATTGATTTAAAAAGGATAATCTTGTAGCATATTGATATTAAAAATACAAAAAGAGAATGAAAATATATTAACAACATGAAGTGCATTGAACATTACATGATATCAAGGTTCGTGGTAAGTGCTAATAATTAATTAAATAATACAAATCAATAATTTTAAATGAACAACAATCGAAATAAATCGTTTACTTAAAAGATGACATATTTTTTGCATGTCCTGTGACCATTAACCAACAGCCGTAAACATGCAAATGCGTTACTTAATTATTATTAACTTCAAGTAAATAGAAAGATATAGAAAGGTAAATTCAAAAGATGAAAGGAATAATTATGGAGAATCAATCAATTATGAATAATTTATTGCTATTGTGTAAATAGTATGTAATCAAAAAAGTAAATGTAGTCTGATTACGAGTATTTTAAAATGTAATATAATCCAATTACAAGAATGTTATTTTTGGAATCTGATTACGTAATCCAGAATACATGTAATTAGTTATTACCCAGCATTGAATATAATTATGGAGTGAACGGGCTATTTAGATGAGGATGTTCCCTTAGAAGACAGTCACCTATTTAGGCAGCTAACTCGGTTTTGGAACAGTGCTGAAACAAAACAAAACACTTTGTTGATACTCTGGTTTGATACTCACAGTGTTGAGAGGGAATGCAGTGTGTCAAAGGCTCCCAGGGACATGGAGGTGATCAGGTTATCATAGAGGGAGAGCAGCCTCACAGAACTCAGACCAGTAAAACTACTGTTATTGACACAGCTTATCTTGTTACTCCTCAACATCCTACACATGACAAACACACACATACAATCGTTTAAAACAGCCAGAAGCTCCAAATGAGATTCGGTTTGGAAAACACAAACCAAGGTGCACACACCAGAGAATAGAATCATACCTAGATACAAATTTTGCATGCACGGTGCATGCACTACCCTGAAGTTCAGTCAAGTTATTCATTGGGGTGTGCAAGCATGTGATACTCACAGTGTGCGGAGACCGCCAAGGCCTTTCAGCATGCTGTAGTGGACGCTCTCTAAGCGGTTGCTCGTCAGTATGAGTTCATTCACTCCACTGGCCCCCTCAAATGTGCCCTCCTCAATATCTGTGATCTTATTGTTACTGAGGTTACTGTAAAACAAAGCAAGTTGCCAAGGTAATTTAAGTGATGGTCGCCTAAACTGTGTAATGACAGATAACAATGACACAGAAAGAGACTTACATTTTGCGCAATTGAGGAAGCTTCTTAAAGATTCCTGTAGCCTCCAGCACTGTAAATTCATTATTGTTCAAGCGGCTGCATGGAAAACAAATCAAACACACAACACGCAAGTAAATTATTTATTGATGAATGAATCTGTATGCATTTATATGTTTATAAGCAGGGATGCACATACTCTAAGTGGTGCGCAGGTGCGACCAAAATAAAAATGTGCTGGGTAAATAAGTTCAGAGCACCATTTAGATCGACTAACTGTAATACTGCATAAAATTTCCATTCGATCTGAAAGCATGAATCTAGGCAAAATGTGAAACTGTGACATTTCATTCACTGACGTGCTTCACTCGGCAGAGCTAGCTAAAACCAGCAGCACATATATGTGACTCTGGTTTGTTAGGATAGGACAATATTTGGCTGAGATACAACTATTTGGAAATCTGGAATCTGAGGGTGCAAAAAAATCTAAATATTGAGAAAAGCACCTTTAAATGTATTTTTGGCTATTGCTACAAAATATACCCCAGTGACTTAAGACTGCTTTTGTGCTCCAGGGTCACATATTTACTTGCTGGCAACCCACCAAAATAAAAGCTTGCCGATTTTAGGTTTGAAAATTATGAAAATTCATATAAAAAAAGGAATAAATGAAAATGTAAAAATTAGCATTGTATTTTTAAGTGTACTATAAAATAATTTTACTTTTTATTTCAATTAAATTTACTTTATTTAAAATAAAAACAAAATAAATAAAATGCGATAATACTATTATTACTATTATGAATTATATAATTTTTTTGTAGTTATATTTAATGGGCCACAATATGTGCAGTGTGAGCACCAAACCAAATCTCCAGGAGCTCTCATGAGAACCAGACTGAAAAACTTATGTGCATCCCTGTTTATAAGTAATAATTTATAGCAAGGTTGTGCACCATTCACAATTTAACACAAAGCTTAATTTAATTTAATTGTATTATTTCGCCTCTTTATTAACAAACTTTTGTAGTGTTTTTTGTAGTGGAGGACTGGATGCAAATAGGGATAGTTCACCAAAACATTCTGTCATCAATTATTCACCATGACGTTCTAAATCCATAAGAACCATAAGAATTAATCTTTAAAATACAGTTATTATTATTGTTGTTGTTGTTATTTCTAATTTCTGACTAGGATAAAGGATTTCTGTACCTCCATTGAAAGTCCAGTCCGCCAAAATTAGTCTAGACATCGTAAAAGTCCAGACAAAATCATGGCAATCCATATGAATCAAGCTGTTTAATCCATCTGAAGAGCCATAATTGCTTTATATATATGACATATTATATATATATATATATATATATATTTATTTTTTTATTTTTTTTTGCCATAACTGGCAAAAGCTATGAAAACTTTCTGCTCCAATTTATATAAGAAAAATATTTATTGGGTGTGTAGATTCAGTAATGAGACACAAAAAATTAAAAGTTCAAGGACTACTGAAAATTATTTACTGAAGATTCACATTGAAAGTGATAAAACATCAAAGTGTGCTAACAGAAATGTGCCTGCATGTTCACTAAAAAAGAAAAGGAAAGGAAAGGAAAGAAAAGAATGCTTTACATGATGAACAGATTTAATTTAGGCTTTTATTCACATTTTAACATTGACAAACACTCACACATAGAGAACGTCAAATATGGTAAGCGTGAGCTCAGATGTGTTTGATGCACGAGAGCAAACCTCATTGATTATTGAGGAAGCTCAACTGGCTTGTATAAAATGCGAGAACAAACCTCACTGGATTTCTTTTACAATCTCAAAGTTTTGTTGGAATGAACTTTCAATGGAGGGACAGGTTTAAATAAAAATATCTTAATTTCTGTTTCAAAGATGGATGAAGATGGGTTCGGAACGAGTAAACAATGTTTGGTGAGTAAGTGAAGACAGAATTTTAATTTTTGGCTGAACTAAACCTCAAAAGAGAGAGAGACACTCACAGTTCTGCTGTATATTGAGGTATGTGGTCCGGGATCTTTGTGAGCTTTTGTCCAGAGCAGTCCACTGTGGTTCCTTCACAGCGACACTTCTCTGGGCAGGCCAGGTCTGCGAAGCAATCCCCACCTAGTTTCGACCGGTAGTCCTCCACACCTACACACATAACCATACACCATTACACACCACACAATCACAAAAAGAGAGTGTATGAGAGAAATAGAGGACAGAGAGAAAGAGAGAAGGAGAAGAGTAGGCTTGAAGGAGTCTGGGTGGAAAGGTAGAGTGGTAAAAGTAGAGGACCACTGGGAGGGAGGACGTTAAAGTTAATTGTGCTAGACCAGAGGAAACTCAGTTATCACCATGGCAACATGCTATCGGGATTATCATTTTTAACAACACATAAAGCCATGCTGATGTACTAGCCATGGCTTTAGAGTGTTGTGTACACACACACACACACACACACACACTTATAAGGGGGACAAAGACGATACACATATTCTTAACTGCACATCCATACAAAGACAAACACACACACACACACACACACACCAAGGTTGTCTCTTGTTGCTTGCCATGCTGTAGATGCTGCAAGACCTTCCATGGTGCTTGACAGAACCATGTATTAGTCCGAGTCTGCAACCACATGGTTAGATCAAGCACAAAGGAAAACCCCGCTGAATTTCCTCCACAAGACACAGAGAGAGAAAGAGAAACAAAGATAAAGAATGAGATACTACTTTGTTTAGCTGGGATAAACTAGTAGGAGTAATGGAGAGAGAGAGAGTAACAGAGAGAGGAGAGATGTGGGGAAAAAGAGAAGAGAGAAACAGAAGAGTGTGGCAGGAACATTGCAGCTGTTGTACGGTAAATAAACACATGAACTAGGAGTTATACACACGGTCAAACACACACATACATATTCCAGTCACACTCTGTGTTTCATTAACCTCTGAGCACATTTTCACATATATTTGGGGTCCTGGTCTGTGATTGGTTGGGGTTGAGGGGGAGGGGCTTGTAGGGTGACACCTTATCGGTCATGTGCCAGTTACTTACACTTATTGATATGATGAATCCCTGAGTGTGTGTGCGAGAAAGGAAGAGAGAATATGTAATACACTCAAACAATCAAACCCTCACGCTGGCGAATTCTGGAAAACCTGTGTTTCAGATCCATGCCACTGTGTGCTATTTGTGAGCATGCACACAGCAAGAGTGAAACTGATCGTGTGACCATCTGATAGCAAATAAACACTAGACTCAAGCGCCTTTGTGTGTTTGCTCATCTAACAACTTCATGTATAACCATCATACTGTATAAGTAGTTTGATTTAAACACATGCCAAGTTCTTAGTATTCATGTTGTTTTATATATCATTTTTAGGAAATGCATACATTTAATTACTGTAAAAACATTTATTAAATGTCTAAATATATTAAAAGCATTTTAAAGACAATGTAAATTTTTAATGAGGCATATTCTTTATTAAGATATCAGGATATCTGTTTTATCCTGACATTTGAATTTTCAAAACATCAATTCAAATTTAAATGTAAACTATTTAAAAGTTTTGAATTTTAATCAACTGCTGCTGTTTTTTTTCACAATAGAAGAGGTATATTCAAGTAACTGTATGTGTGAACTGCGTTTATAATGTATTTTTGAATAAATTATTAGATTCTGACAAAAAAAAAGAGCATTGTCATTTACCCACGTGCTACACAAGAACAAAGCACCATTATGTGTAGCTCTTCTTTGCAAATACAGCAAAAAACTCAAAGCAGCACACTTGTGTACTTCAAGCAGTCTGTTTCTCTAGCATTCTGGATCTTTAATTGTGCACAAAAGTTTTTTTTATCTGTATGATAATATGCATGTAATTTGCATGCATTAGTGTATTAGTCCAAAGGTTTTTATGCAGTACACACACAGACAAAATGTTTAGTAGCTGAACATACCTGGTATAAAATATTGTTCTTTAGCTAAACAAAGAGAGATACACAGAGAACTGAGAGGAAGGCTGTGTGTGTGTGAGTGTGTGTGTGTGTGCGTGTGTGTGTGTGTGTGTGTGTGTGTGTGTGTGTGTGTGTGTGTGTGGATCAATAAATGAATATGTATATTGATCAGAGAATCCTGCTCATTTACAACCCCACAGCGATCAATACTCAACTGACAACCACTAAACTAATAATACCCCCCCCACACACACACACACACATTTGCATTCTGATTTATAATCTGCTTACAGGAGAAGATAACTCATTCTGAGACCCTCAGGACTTTGTCGTATAAGTGAAAGCTGACTAAGAAGTTTCCACCCCTAAACACATACACACATTCCTGACACTAAAGTCCAAGGTCAGGAACAGACCGGAAGAGTAGGGTCAAACAACTCAGCGTCTGCAAGCAAGTCTGGCAAATTACCAAAAATGACACACATGCGTGTATGTACCTGAACAGCGGAACTTTTTGCTCTTGATCTGGCCGATGCGTTTGTTAGCAAGGCGGCGGGGACTGGTGCATCGAGCTCCGCTGGTCTCAATCGGGTTGTCTTGCAGGTAGTCAGCTAACCACTTCAAATGGCAGTCACACATGAAGGGGTTCTGGGCCAAATGACTGATAAATATAAAATATTTAAGAAAATTATGAATGACGGTCATAGTTAAGGTGTGCTATTTCTTGACAAACCAAATAGAGTACACTCAAATTTTTGACCAGCCTGAAATATGACTGAATGGAATTGCTCATACATGGGCCTAATATTCCATACCAAGAGTTGTTCAAACATGACATTATAAAGAGATGATATTTATACGACAACCAAAAAATTAATTGATATATAAAATTTGCACTTTTGTTTTATTCCTTAATGTTTAAAATAAGAGCTTTCAATAAAATAAAATTATCATGATTAATCTCTTGATTTCCAACCAGTCTTTAGAAATCAATAACACCACAAATCAGTGTATACTGTATGTATATATATATATTATTTTTTTTTGTAACTTACTAGTCAAGTAGTCTAAAAGTAAGAACCCCTCAGAAGATAGTCAAAAACAATGTGTATATATGCGATCCATCTGAATTACTTAAACTATGAATCAAAGTGTTAAATAATTCTAGATAACTTATTATCTGAATTGTTCTTATTTTATATTCCATCAGTTAAAATTTACAACACTGATGGCAACAAAAGCAGCAGATGGGATGAATGAAAATGCCAATTCACTCTTGCAAGATATAATGTATTCTTTTGTTTTTGTTGTTGTTTTCTGAAATCTTAGCTACAGCAGAGTGTCAATCATTTTGCAACAAATGTTACTTAGAGTAACTCACAGTGTTTGGATGGCTCGGAGAGAAGAGAAGGTTCCCTTTACAATGGTCTGGAGTTTGTTGTCATAAAGTGACAGAAGATTCAGATTCTGCAGGTCTTGGAAAGAATCTACGCGCAAACAATTGATCTTGTTCGCATTAAGCAACCTGTTGGGATAAACATTTGCATGTGACATTTTACACAAATCTCTCAGACAAACCGGACAATCTATACATGCGTTGTAAATTGAGATATTATAAATGCTATACACAAATAGATTAACATTTCTAGACAAACATATGAGTGAAAAAATCCCTATGGTCTCCAGACTCATTTACAGTGCCTTATAGGAGAACAAAGTTGTGAATAAACAGAGGATTTATTTTACAAAGCAGCTTTCGTATAAACAGGATTTACATGTTCTGCATCTCCTGCAAAGCA